GGGTAAGGCCCAGGGAGGGCCCCGGGCAGGTAGGGGAACCCCCCCCCCCCCGCATACATGGCGGTCACCACACGCACCCCGAAGCCCAAATGCGGGAGGAAGAAGAGGCTCAACAGCTTGTAGATGTCGAGAGCCGGGTTGCACGGGGAGGAGTTGGTGGTCCCCCAGCAGGAGTAATCAATGGACAGGACAGTGGCAATCCCGACGGCCGAGGCCAGGGTGGAGAAGATGCCGGCCGCCCGGGCACTGGTGGCCTTCACTCGAGGGATGATGCTCGGCAGGAAGGCCAGCCCAATGGGGAACCAGCAGAGCACCTGCACGATGAGCAGGATCTTCAGGCTGTGGATGTAGATCCGGTACCGGTGCGCCAGGATGTCGATGGTTTGGCGAACGCGGCGGCTACTGATCGGGCTGAAGGAGGTGGTGATGGTGGTGCCGGCGATGCTTTCGCTGCTGGAGGCCGCCGGGCCGGCCAGGAGGCTGGAGCTGCTGCTGTGCGATGTGGCGATCGAGGAGCGCGAGTGTGGTGGCCGCCCATCGGCCGGGGTGGGCAGCCGTGTGGTGAGGGGAACCGGCCGGGGGGTCGTGCTGCCGGGGATGTTGGCTCCGGCGAGGCCGGGCCCGCCGACGGGAGCCAGGGGGATGTGAAGATGGTGGTGGGGATATTGGCTGGCGGTGGTGGACTTGGTCGGGGGCAGGTGGTGCGGGCTGCCGGGGCCCGGGGCCGGCCGGGGTCCAGGCGGGCTGACAGGCCCCCGGGTGGGGTCTTGCCGGGCGGCAGCGGCGGCGGCCGCCGCCGCGACCGATGACGGGGTGGGCAGCCGCACGCTCGGATCGCAAAAGCGGCTCAGTTGCTCGAGCAAGTCGCTGTCATCCTCCATCAGGGCCAGGGTTAAGGCCCCGGTGCCGGGCTCCTCAGAAACGCCGGTGTCAGCCGTGGGCCTGGGCGCCGCGGTGGCGCTGGGGATCAGTGGCGCGGCAATGAGAGTCTGACTGCCGGTGGGCGAGCCCAGGTGTGGTGACAGTTCCCCGGAGCCCAGGAGGCTGGCCCCGCCGGGGCCATCATGGGTGTCGACATTGGCACCCTCCTTGCTGCCGTAGCCATCGTCGTCCAGGTTGAGGCTGCCGCCGTCGCGGCCGCCGCGGCCGCCGCCGCCGCCGCCGTAGCTAGTGTCGATGAACTCGGTGAGGGAGAAAATGCCAGCATGGTTGCCAGGGGAAGTGGGGTAGTCGGGTGGCTCGGGCCCAATTGCTTCCATGGTGGCTGGGAGGAGTGAGGTGACAAGAAGCAGGGGGGGGG